TGCCTCGTGGTGCAAGACTACAAAAAGGAAGCTAAATAATTAAATCGAGCTTCACCTTCACCACAAGTGAAACGAAAACATTGGAGTTATAAGTGTCAGCCCATTTACATTACATTTATAATATAAGTCATAGAATATCTTTGCCTTAAGGGCGGGGATACACATGCCAGTAAATCGGGAAAGTAGCTGGCATGAAAGTTACTGGCATGTACGAGTAACTGGCACACTGCGGATACATTTGCATGTAATACTGGCATGCAAGTTGTGCCCTTGCATGCCAGTATTACCATTGCGTATACACAGGACAGTTCGTGAGTGTCACTCGGTACCTATTCTTGCGTGCCAAAAATGGATAACAATCGAAGTGAATTACACAAAATCGTGTTGTTACTAGCAAAAAAAGAATGACTTGAATAAACTTGACCTTCGAAAAAAAAACAATAACGTGCGCCTACGACCACAACGAGTCAGCTACTGGCATGCCCGTAGCTGTCGCGTCTGTTCACACGTGCCAGTTTAGCAACACGTCCCCTCCCTCAACGGGCATGCAAGTAAATCAAATGTTGTGCTAGCTACTTGTATGCTAGTTACAGGCATGCCAGTTAGCGTATACACATGACAGTAGCTGGCACGTGCAAGGGGCTGGTATGGTAGTGTGCAAGCTACGGGCATGTGTATCCCCAGCTTAAATTCTGTTGGGTGCTGTAGTAGTGCTGTGTAGCTGTGAAAAGGCAAAAATATGCTTACTGTTAACCTCAATTGAGTTCACAACTGCCAGAGGATGTCCACAAAGAGATATACTGTCTACTCTTCTTTGGAATCTCGCGGTTGACCTTTCCTTTTAACGTAGGAAATCCTCGTCTTAATGGTGAAGATGTACCATTCTGTAGTGAAATTAAATACTTGGGTGTAACAACCGAGAAAAAACTAACGTGGAACTCTCAACTTGAGCAACTTATGTCATGGCTAAAATTGCTCTAGATACGTATAGTCGTATGGTTGGGTACGTCCCAGGTAAATCCTGTGGTAGTACAGCCGATAATAACAAAGGCCTCCATTATATATTGTAATAAGGTCAACCAAAAGACGACTGCAGATAATTTAAATAGTCTACCCACAAAGAACTGCTTGTTTAATTGTAACTGATGCGATATGAACCTCAACTTTATATAGATATACAGGATTATTTTGCAATAACCGGCCAAAGGACAATGGGATTTTTGGGCCTGATGTTAACTAATTCGTTTATACTTTAAAAAATCGGCTATATTTGTCTTAAGTGAAATACAAAAAAGTAGCTTTCTTACAATCTAAATTTCGAAAAAACAATAAAATAAGAAATAAGTTAGAAAATTGATTGTCGTGTTTTATTTATGACAATAAATCGATTACTATAAAGAATAGGTTCATAATAAGAAAGAAGGTTCATAATTACTAATGTAGGCAAATGGTGAAGAAAAATTAATTAAAAAATATCTCTAATATTGTCCTTTTTATCTTTTAAATTCAAAATGCGTGGTAATGCATTATTTTAACTGATTTTACTACGCCCGCACACATTCGTAAGGTTCGATCAATAGGCAAAAATGTTGTTGCCCGTAAATCAAATTCAATTTGGGATAATTTCAAATAAAAGTAGAAGCCTTATTTATTCGTATTTGCAAAAACTGCAATAACGGTAGTATAGCATTTGAGCTCAAAGTTTAAAATTTGGTTACTCTTTGAAAAATAACCCTGTATACTTTATTTATGTAGATCTCTTTGGTAATGAGGGTCCACTGAGGTCGCCACTTAAGGTGAAATATTTGACAGATTTTATGACGGGGGCAGTTTATTTGTTAAGAAAACATAGGGATTAATGTTTCTTTCTGAAATATTAGTTGTATTTTATAATAATAAAATTGGAAATGGTTGCCAACCCGCTTGACAAGAAAATACAGGGAAATATTCACTGGATAGGTATATATCTCTATGGGGATATTTGGCAACTATGGCAAATTTCCCCCTTATTATGCAATCTATGGGGAGGCCTATGTTCAGCAGTGGACTTTATTGTTAGCTCTCATTTCAAATTTAATTTCTAGCAAATTAATAAAAGATTTTGTCACATCTAAGAACATACAGTCAGCTAGTAATATGTAAGTCAGTGAGTCATCGTGTTTGATGTTGTCGTATAAGCCGACATCGTCTACTCTTTCGTGGCTCTTCGTGACTACTAAAATTGCTAGGGTTGTCACAAAGGGAAGTATTAAAAAATAATTGACTGATTTTTGTTAATTCCACGTTTAAACAAAATAAATATTTTAATCAGACTATTGGTGTCCAGAAATAATAAAAATACGTTATTCTCAGCTGTGTTATAAAAATAGTCAACGATCGAATACAATCTTAAGCAGTTTATAACGTAAATAATAATAATAAACACACGCCTGTCACCCAGAGGGGTAGGCAGAGACTATGGAGTTCCATTTGGCACGATCCTGATACACCTCTTTCACCTCCTCCACATCCATATACCTACGCATACACGCTCGTCGGTTAAGGGTACTTGTTCACAAAGATTCTTTTCCACACATGCGGTGAGGAGACTTTCGCCATTCTCATTTATACTCTCATCACCAAACGTTCCCAATATCCTTTCATAACCAAGCCTCTTCGCCCCAAACCTTCCATTAAAATCTCCTAATATAACAATATTTTCATTACCCTTGGCATTTCATTAGCACCATCCTTACCATAATATATATGATAGGATAGGATATAAGCGGGCTTAGATATGTCTGAGGCGTAGACCCCTACAACAAACAACTTCTTTAAGCCCACTTTCATTCGTATCCATAACAGTCTCTGGCTTACACATTCGTGCTTTTTCACATAGTGACCTATTCTTTCCGAAAGGATGATACCGACTCCCTGTCATGCCCGCTCGGTCTCGTCTATACGCGGTATACATAGCATGTATAGTAGCATCCTTTCCCTTCTGTTTCTTTTCGTTTACACATAACACAACTATTCCTTTATCATACATCATATCGCACAGTTCATCCATCTTATCATACACATACATTGCTCCACATACATTCAGCGTAGCCAGACGGGTTTTCGCAATCTACTTTTCGCTCCTCCGGGAGATAGAACGTGACAGGTGGCGAACCGCCGATGCCCCGTTAAGGGGGGCCGTAACCCAGGGCCATTCTTTTCTTTTTTGCCTAATGGTGCGTGAGTAGGGGGTGGTATTTTTTACGCCCCTACCACACGGCGAGGAGCCGAGTCTGTTCTTTCGGCTTTGTCGCTTGTTTAGCACCACTATGGGGACACGTGTAGAGTGGGCCTAGGATTAGGTGGTCGAAGCCTTCGGACGGGAGCGACTCATCCCCCCATCATTTATAACGTATCTTTGAGTAAGAACCACCTACTTATTAACGTGGTAGCTCAGATGGTTAGCGCTCGCTGTAAGCTTCACAGTACTCGAGCAACCTGGGTGCGATCCCCGCCGGCACCAATGAAATTGTTAATTGAAATTTTAAGTGCTGATTTACCACGTGCTCGGCGGTGAAGGAAAACATCGTGAGGAAACCTGCATGTCTGAGAAATAAGAAAAAAAATATTTCGAAGACATGTGAAGTTCGCCGACACGCATTGGGGCAGCGCGGCAGACACTTCCTAGCCCTAAAATGCTCTCAGAAATGAGAGGAGGCCTGTGCCCAGCAGTGGGACCTAAATAGGCTGCAACTTTACATTTTCATTAACAGTATATTTTTATTTCAACACAAATGGCACAGGCATTCACCCAAAGTTACATTAAGGTTGTCATCGAAGTCAGATCCCTAATATTGCCAATTTTCAATTTTGCGGGGAGAGGACGGCAAAGACAATTTTAAAGTGTATAACTTCAATATCGGCCATATTTTGACGGATTTTAAGGCTTATTTTAAGTAGTATTAAATATTTATTTGTTTTTAACCTAACACAACTAGCCTGTTGGGATTAAACTATATATATTTACAAATGTGCAACTGATATTTTGGATTTTTTGATTTACTAGATTTTTAATTTCTGTTATACCGCCGTTTTACCGCACACGTTGTGTGAACCATTTTAATTCATTTGCAATGTGACAGGACAACCCCACCGGACAGCTCCCGAACGACTAATACGTGGATGATCAGCCGTTCGGGAGCGCTCCGCCCGCGTCTCGTCCGTACTGTTAGTATAAGTCGCGGCACGTAAGTTTAGCGCTGAACGAAGCGTGGAGGTAACACATAGTTGCGCATGGGTACTGTCGCGCACGAATTGAATTGCACGAATGCGACTGGAGAGCCAATCAGAGCGTGCGAACGATACGCACGAGCTAATCAGCGCGTGCGCACGAGGCACGCCCACCCTGCGACCCGCCTACTGCCCCATGATACCTTATTTTCGACTTATGTGCAATAACGGTCACCGCTACTTTCCTGCCGCTACTTATAGCAGTGGTTTCGTATTACAAGGCGCCTAAAATTTATAAGGGTTTATACATAAAAAGATGATATTTAAAAACGTAATAGTGAAAAAATTATTGTATCGGAATTTTTAATTGACGTGATATTATTATTATCTTTACATTGTTTTACATCGCAAGTAGATATATGATTGTATTTTTCAATCCAAGTTTACTGTACAATGTCGCAACAAAAACTGAAGAGCGATGAGCGTAGTTTTTGAATCGCTTGAAATGTAAGTAGCGTTCGGTCTTTATCTTTGGGTTGGTTTGATGTTAAAACAATGGGGCACCAGAGCGAAGCTTTTATACTTTTTACTGGAAACACTCAGGGTGACGCATCTGTATTTTGATTCTGAATCGAGGATAAATGTATTTTTTTTTTCAGAGGATAAATGTAGATGTCTTTAGGCCACAGTATCTACTTACTATCTGATTGTGTGTGCTCGTTTGTCACCCTTATTCTATAAAAAAAATTGCGAAATATTGAAATAATTCAATATATAAATGAAACAAGATAACTGTAACTTATAGTTTTATTGAATAATATTTTATATAATAAATTATGGTTATAAACTTATAAATTACTTTTACGCTACATGGGATCGTTGTCGGAATACCTCTACAATTGGGTCTTCATCTGGGTATTCTAGTTTTTTCTGATCATTAAGAACATAGCTGAAGCCATCAAAGTGATTGAATTCTTTAGCTACTAATTCTTCTAAATGGTACAACCGGGTTGGATGAGTCAAAGCGATTAAGTTTTCTGAAATTAAGAAACAATTTTTATAAAATTTTTGATATTCGTTAATTACAGTCCAAAAGTTCACTGTTGAATATGTGGGTTATGTTGGATGCCATGTGTTGCCTCGTAGGGGGGATATTTGCCAAAGTTGCCATGCTTTGCAGGTGCGTTGGAAACTGCAGATTTTATTTTTATTTTAAGGTACTAGGCAACTGGCGTCTGTGGGCAATGAAATACAGACGCTTGGAGACGCCACGGCATGGAACGTCAAGATTGTGAAATAATGTTTATTAAAGTATTGCCAATATGTTGTTATTAGAAATCAAATCAGCGCGTATTATTTGTTTAAACTAATTGTAATGAAAGATTGCTGAAGCTGTAAAAGTCAAAAAGGCTAACAGCATTAACATCATCAGATACCAGAAGTATAACAGGTCACTATTAATACCTTGTATGTATAACAAGGTATTACTAGTGACCCGTCCCGGCTTCGCTTAGGTGTGATATATTTATGTGGTGGCGTCATTTACTGCCTCCAGGTCCTTTAAAAGTGTCATTGCTAAGGCAATCAGAGCACATCGGTAGAATTGCCGAGAAACTAGATCGACTTCCTTCGGGAATACGTGCATTCTGGTCTCTCGCCAAGGCAGTCTACAGGAGCTTCTGTCAGCTATCTCTGCCATCTCTGCAGGCAGGACGACTCACTGGCCCATGCCGCAAAGGAGAAAATCGAACTGCTAGGCTCTCTCTTTGCGTCCATGACGCGGGGTCACACCGCCGACTATCCCGCGGTGTGAGTGCTCCATGCTGGATGTGCTGTTTACACAGCGACCGGTACACAGAGCACTCCCCTCTCTGGACGTCAAAAAGTCTAGTGAACCTGATGGAGTCTCACCTATTGTGCTGAAGACGTGTGCTCCGGAGTTAGCATCGGTTTTAACGCGTTTTTTCCGGTACTTATACTCCCTAGGCGTAGTCCCGAGCTCATGGAAGACAGCTTGGTGCACCAGATCCCTAAAAAACTCGACCGCTCAGTACCGTCCAACTACAGACTACGCTATCACCTACCTGTTCTCCAAAATAATGGAAGCAATTGCAAACTACCAACTCATGAGGTACCTTGAGGACGACCATCTGATTAGTGCCAGTATGGTTTCCGTCGGGGTCGTTCAGCTGGTGATCTTATTGCTTACCTAACTCATAGATTGGCGGAGGCAGTAGAGTCCAAGGGGAGGCCTTGGCTGTTAGTTTAGACATAGCGAAGGTTTTTAATCGGGGTTTGGCACAAAGCGCTTTTTTCGAATCTTCCTTTCTATGGGTTTCCCGAAAATTGTGCATTTGGATCACCAGTTTTCTTCTACATCGAAGCATCAAGGTCGTAGCAGACGGTGCATGCTTCGACTACAAGCCTATTAACGCTGGTGTTCCACAAGACTGCGTGATATCACCAACGCTGTTTCTTCTGCATATCAATATGTTGCAAACCGGTAACATTCATTGCTATGCGGACGACAGCACTGTTGGTGCTTCATACATCGACCGCGCCAATATTTCTCGGGAAAACTTCCCCGAGTACCGGAACAAAGAAATCACAGAAGACACAAGTTAGCGCTATTACCGCTAAAAAGTACTCCTTTGTCTTATATCCTCAATTTCGGGGCACTCCTTTTGTTCCCTCAGCCAGTATCGAAATCCTTAGCGTCGACATATCGAATGACGTGTAGTTTCGCGGTCATTTGGAAGAGAAGGCCAAATTGGCGTGCTCAGCAGATTGGGACAGTATTTCATGCCGGCACACCGCCTGCAACTTTACAAGGCGCAGGTTCAGCCTTACATAGAGTACTGTACCGGGGCTCCCTAGTGCCAGCTACTTCCATTTGATCGCATCCAAGAAATTGACCGGTAATAGGAAAAATATTTAGGATTTAAATTAATAGAATTTGATAATTATTACGAGCATCTTAGCAAATTAATTTTTAACACCTTTAATATTTACGATTTGTCTTTTTAGGAAATCATCTTTCCAAGCAGAGTGAAAAGAGCAGTTTTCGCCGAATTATTTAGGAGAGGAATGAGCATTTTAAGACACCACCTACTAAATTCAAATAGATGGAGATTATAGCTTGTTCTCTCGACATTACTACTGTCAAATTAATTAAAATTAAAACAGAAGAGCACCCCGAGTGGAAATGTTACAGAGGAACTTCGACGTATTTTGCTTTGCTTAATAATCAAAGCAAGACGCAGAGGAGTAGTGCTGATTGAGGTCAATGTCATGTGTGTATAGGTTTTCACAATATTTTTCCAACTCCTAGAAAATAGAAATTGTGCAGAACCTAGCAGAGTCAGGGTCAGGATCAAAAAAACCATTCGTTAATATGGCGTCGTTGAGCAAAAACTGTGGAGTATATAATATACACTATTTAATAAAAAACAATCATCAAAATCGGTTAACAATTGAAGAAGATATCGCGTAATATAATATACTACAAAAATAACGTCGAGTCAAATTGTAAGGCTATTTTTGCGTCGACTATTTTAAGTCTGCTAAAAATAATCTTTGAGACATTATGAAATTTACGTACTCTAAATAACGATTATTTATTTTAGTGTGCTTTTCGCCGAAGCTGTTATAAATAACTCCCCAACAGAAGGAATTTGCTTTTAGTATTACACCTTTTCGTTTAGGCGTTGAGGTCAATCGTACTGAGACCTATCTGAACAATTCCACCTTCGAGGGCAGACCATCAAAATATTCTAGGATGGCGTGGATGTAAATGCAAGCAGCCATTGTGCTTTTGCCATATTATTCTTCAATCGATTATATTCAAGTAAGTTATTAATTTATTTAATAGTTTTTCAATGAAATTACGCAAATAATTAACATGTTTTTCGGCCGAATAATAAATACAAAAAGATCGAATACCAAACTGCAGCCGAATGTTCTTTGAATTACTAATAGCGAAATGAATGCTACGTTTAACCTTACCTTGTGCAACGTATCTTTGCGATTGATCGGCAGCTACCACGTGATAAAAGGGCTGGTTGTGGCCAAAATTGAGATCCTTCGTTGGGATGCCGGCACGCCACTCCGAGCCACAAGTCAGATCCCAGCCACGTACTATACATACATATTCGTGTTCCTTGTGGCAGCATATCATACCTACAGCGTAAAGGACACTGCTGTGGTGCTTTTTCACTTCTGATATTTTAACCTGTACGAAACGAATGTGTTTGTATATAAACAATTGCAAATATTTTCCGTAATGGATCTGCAATGAAATCGTTAACATCAATTTAACAAGTTGATTTAATATGTGCTCAGTGTTACAAAGTGTTTGTCTGGCATAAATTAAAAATAGAAGTGTTTTTAAGAAACATCTTGTTATCGATTAGGAAAAGAAACAACATGAACTAACAGTAAAAGCGCAATATACTACATAAATAAATAAAGGCTTACTGCTTTGTTTGTCGCTCCAGCTGCATTCAAATGTACTAACAAAGATATAATCTGTAATTCTTTTTCGGTCAGCTAGAAAAAATAAAAGTTAGATTGAAATAATACGATATGCTTATGTACAGAATAAAACAAGGAAGAATTTGATAACATTTAATTAAATAACATTATGACATCAAAAACCATAAAATAGTCCTACTACCCGCGGTATAGTGCCAACTTAGCCTTTAGACGAGAAAAGTATCAGCCCTCTTGTCTCCAGCGACGAAGACCAGTCACGGATATACAGTTAGAAAGTTAAATTTGGATTATACAGCAAATGGCACAAATATATAGTCACCTCTTAGACTCATATTTGCGCATTTACTCAGTTCAGCCGCCTTGGATCTTAACGAGGTATCGCTAAGATGTGAAGCCGCCAGTCTTAACACACATAATATCCCAAGCCAGGGCTTTGAATCTCTCTCAGGATATAAAAGTCAGACCTCCCGGTCTCCTATTATCGTCTCTAAATATTCCATTAACCGAGAAATATTTATAGAGACACAAACCATTCGGATAACATCGTATCACATGGGCGCCGATAAGGTTAACAGATGCCGCCTCTAGACCGAGTCCTACGCTATGTGCAAGTTTTCTCCATCAAGTAAAGTGCAAAAATTACTTGGTGGTAACGCGTAATCAGAAGTCGAAACAGCTAGAAAGCGGGCCCGATCTTGGTCATTATGGGTATTACGAAATAAATCTTTCTTCACATTCTGTCCTTACGTAATATTGTTAAAAGCTTTGAAAAAAAATTACTTCGCAAACGTCCGCTCTATATTGCGAAATATTTTTTTAAAAGCTTTTATATAATGGATTTCAGCAAAGTAACGCCTGATTCTATTAATTATATGGAATATTGTTAGTTTTAGTGGGACACCCTAGCTGGGACAGAGTGGTTGCCCGTCTACCTTGCCTTCCCAGTAAGGTACAAGCACTAGGACTCGGTTCCAGGGTAGGTATCACCCCCTTATCTATTTCTGCCACCAAATAGCAGTAATTGGTCTGCTGTGTTCCGGTCTCAAGAGTGTATGAGTCTGTATAGTAACAGTTTGTGAGGCATTCCATCTTAGCCCACAGAAGTGACAACGCATCTGCAGACTTCTTTGTCTGAAGTTGGTGACAGGTCTCGAAGGACTGCAGGATTGCATAGCATCAAGTGTCAGTTCCTTTTGTAACAACATTTTTATTAAAAAAAACTAGTCTACTTTAAATCACTGACACTATGCGCGGATGCAAGGAAGGCGAGCAATACAGTACTAGAAAGATTTCCAACACCAATACAAATTTTACAGGTAATATATAGCTCGAGGCCAGACTATTGAATTTAGAGATAAATTAGGATATTTTTTTAAGGTTATTTTATTTTAATTAAGCATAACACTTACATTTTTCATGTTTAGATTTGAATTTAAACCCGCCAAATCAATATGCCGGAACAAATATTGATAAAAATTGTCGTATGGACTAGGAATGCTATAATTTCCACCCAGGAATCCTAAAAGATCTGACGCATTTTGTGTCGTCCTAAAAGGAAGTGAAAAAATAACGTTAATGAATATAATTATGTATGCCGATTGAAAATATGAAAAAATAGAAATTTAAAACATTTTAAATGCATTTAAGTCTCGTGCTGTCACTATTATTTTAAGTCAAAGTGATAGTGACCCTATGAGACTTAACGACATCTTAAAATCGAGTAGCGTTTGAATATTTGGCCATCAGTGTTTCAGGTTGACTGACTTTTTTGAACGTCTCATTTATCTATACGCTATCACTAACTATTTCCGTAGATTGTTGATGAATATAATTATAATAAAATAGAAATTTAAAACTTGGTGGCGCATAAGCATATTTTATAAAAATAAGGTCGTTAATGTTAAATAGAAAATATATTGACATGCAGAAATACGAGGGGCACACTGAAATGATCGGGAATAGAATATTTCGGATTGAGTTACAATAAAACTTTTTTTAGAATTTGAATACTGGCCGCTTAGAATCTTAATGACATTCAAACAATTAAAAAAATGTTTACTAACAAAAACTATGTTGGTTTAAAGTTGACACGTCGTTAACAGAAATGGAGCTCACGCGTGAACATTTCCGTGCTATAATTTATCACAATTTTCGTCGCGGCTTATCTCAAGATAAATGTTTCAGCGAACTTGTTTCGATTTATGATGTTGAAGCACCGAGTCAAACGACAATATACCGCTGGTATGCCGAGTTCCGACGCAGTCGTGTGTCGCGCAGCACTGTTTCTTCTACAGGTCGACCAAGAACAGCGGTCACACCTGAAAATATCGCAGCTGTGCGAACTATTATATTAGATGACCGTCATCTGACAAATGAGCAGATTCGGGCTGTTATCAGTATCGGAATGACTGCAATTCAGTCGATATTACATAATGAGCTGTGTGTAAGAAAGCTAGTTTCCCGCTGTGTTCCCCACAATTTGTCCGGTTCAAGAGCAAAAGGTGGCTCGAGTAGATTGGTGCCGGAATACTCTGCAACGCTTCAACGGAGGGAAGTCAAATGCCGTTTATAATATCGTCTCAAGTGACGAATCATGGATTTATTCATACGAACCTGAAAGAAAACATCAGTGAGCAGTTTGGGTCTTCGAAGACGAGGTCAAACCAACGAAAGTGGTTCGCTCCCGCAGCGTGTCAAAGAAAATGGTCGCTACGTTTGTCTCGAAAAAGGGGCATGTTGCTACAATTCCTTTACAGGAACGCAGAACGGTTACCGCTGAGTGGTATATCACGGTTTGTTTGCTAGAAATGATAGCCGAACCCCAAAAAAATAACCCGAAACGTTGCATCATCTTACATCACGATAATGCGAGCTCCCATACGGCTCGGAAGACAAATAATTTTTTGAAGCAGGAAAACGTTGAGCTGTTGAGCCATCCTCCGTACAGTCCTGACCTGAGCCCAAACGATCTCTTTACATTCCCTAGAATGAAAGATTTATCACGCGGTCAACGGTTTGAAGACCCCGAAGCAGCTGTGGAAGCGTACAAATCAGCCATTTTGTCAACAGCAACTTCAGACAGGAATTACTGTTTTAATGATTGGTTTGCACGAATGGAAAAGTGCATTAAGTTGAACGGAGAATACTTCGCAAAACAATAAAATACAATTTAGCTATACCGTGCATGTGGTTTTTCTTATTCTAGATTATTTCAGTGTGCCCCTCGTATTAGCAGCAGATTGAGGAGATAATTCTCTTAGAAATTTGGCACATTATTTGCCGATATTGTCATTTAGGCAGAATTGCTGGAGCATCGCTATGCTTAATGACTAAATAGTGCCTCCCTTAATTATGACACCAAGACAAAAGCTATGTGTAACGTCCATATCGCACCTATGGCGTTGCCGAGCACTACGCTCGAATTTATTGACGAATATGTTTATCCAAGATAAAATGTGAGACTAATTAATAACACCGACCGCTTGGGAGATTCCGACACATGTCGGTCACGTATACTTGAAAACAGGAGTGTACAACCAGTGTGTGTTACCAGTGATAACATATGGACCTGAGATGTGGTACTTTACTGCTAAACAGAATGAGGAAGCTTAAGATCAGTCAGTAAGCCATGGAGAGGGCTATGATCGGAGTTTCTTTGCGTAATTGAGTATCATAATAAGGATATTTGCAGTAAAACCTCGTGCCGGTGGGTGAAGTGGTGTCGTATTGGAGGGCCGCCCTCCACTAGATGCGAGTGATGACCTGGTACGTAAGAGAAGTGAAAAGTGATACAGATGTCACTATACAATGACAAACAGTGCGTGTTGCCAGTGATGACCTATGGAACTGAGACGTGGTCCTTCACTGCTGGCCGGTTGAGGAAGCTAAAGGTCGCTCAGCGAGCTATGGAGAGGGCTATGCTCGGAGTTTCTCTGCGTGATAAACTTAGAAATGAGGATATCCGCAGTAGAATCAGAGTGACCGACATAGCCCAACGGATTAGTAAGCTGAAGTGGCAATGGGCTGGCCATATAGCTCGAAGAACCGACAACCGATGTGGAAAAAACTTTCTCGAGTGGCAGCCTCGTACCGGTAGGCGACGTGTGGGGACCGGTAGTCGATGGATGCAGGTGGCTCAGGACCGTGCTTTGTGGCATTACTTGGGGGAGGCTTATGTTCAGCAGTGGACTTCAAATGGGCTGTAATGATGATGATAATAATGATGTTGATTGGCATATTTATTTTGTTTTATTAAAAAGTATGCATCGCTTAAACCGTACACTCAATTAATATATAATATGTTTGAAGCTAATTATTTATATGTGTGCTTAACAAATGTGTCTTATGCCCAAATATTCAAACTCTGCCCCATTTTAAAATGCCGTTAAGTCTAGTGCTGTCTCTATTATTTTAAGTCAAAGTGATAGTGACCCTATGAGACTTAACGACACCTTAAAATCGAGTAGCGTTTGAATATTTGGCCATCGGTGTTTCAGTTTGACTGACTTTTTTGAACGTCTCATTTATCTATACGCTATCACTAACTATTTCCGTAGATTGTTGATGAATATAATTATAATAAAATAGAAATTTAAAACATTTTTAAATGCATTTAAGTCTCGTGCTGTCACTATTATTTTAAGTCAAAGTGATAGTGACCCTATGAGACTTAACGACATCTTAAAATCGAGTAGCGTTTGAATATTTGGCCATCAGTGTTTCAGGTTGACTGACTTTTTTGAACGTCTCATTTATCTATATGCTATCACTAACTATTTCCGTAGATTGTTTTAAGGCGACCATGAATGTCTAACTCTATATTTGACTTTACTGTCTGTTTCCATCAGAACTAGACATAAATCTTATCACTAGACATATTATATCATAATGTTACTTAAAAATTACAACAATTTTGGAAGGTCTATTTTCAGCGACGTAATGAACGAAGCCTAAGCGGTAAACATGATGATTATCATAGATATTTACCAGCTTTTTATAGCACCCATGGTCTTGAGAAATGACGAATGAAGGCACTGCAATAACGAATCTGCACTGTATCTATAACGGGCGTTCTGGTTACTCTGTGCGAATGGACATCGGCGTTTTGGCTCAAGTTCACCCGTAGCGACGTTGATATTGAACACTTGAGCGTTTGGGTGGCTTTCGTCGCTACGCCACTGCAGAAACAAATGGTTTGAGAACACAATAAGTTCACACTCTGCGCCACATCTTTTAGCCACTGCTTGAAAAATGGCAAATAAAACAATCTGGTTTCCATATTTATGATCCCAAACCTAAAAACATTTTGCATTTTTTTATCACAGATAATTTTAAAGGTACACGCTAGGATGTACTTGACAAGTTTAACCATATTGTGTATGTTGCATAGTTGTGCAGGTTACCACACCTGTAAAGGCAACCCAAAAATATATGAATTATGATATTTTTTGCAGTTTAATTGAGCAAACAAAACTGCGTAGGCGTCAGTTGTAGATTCAAGACAGAATATTTGAGACTCCCGAGTCCAGAGTTATCCCTTTGGCAAGATATCTTAAGTTCTAACGTCACTGTAAGCCTTTCATGGGGTGATATAGCTTCTCTCACCGCTGTATCCTGATATGAATTAAAAGGAGCCACCACTGACAACAGTTTGAGATATGTACGTATTTTCATGATTTCGTAGATAATTGCAGTAGTTTTCCCACTCAAACATTTATTCCTTCAATAAGTCTATTTTCTGTGATGTAAGTGGTGTTAGCTTATAAGGGTTCACCCCCCCCCCCCTTCCCCTCCCCTCTGTGGGTACTACGTTGACGTGACTGTATTGTTTTCTTTGCAGTGACCAGGCTTTACACCACTTTTCGCAGTATCTTCGTTTATAATTCCTTTTCTTCAATAAAACAAACAATAAACCTATTAGCGCTACTACGTCGAGATGAATTTTCAACTGAGACTTTACACAGCTACTCCTCTACTCAGCCAAGTTTACCTAACGGATGTAACTTAATTAGATTAAAAATAAATAAACCGAACAACAGATATTTACAAAAGAAGAAAAAAAATTAAAAATATGCAAAAAATTGAAGAGCAAACCACTGAGGCATTGTTTTGTGTATTAATATAATACTCTAGAAACTGATAAACTTTGACTAAAAACTAACTTCTCAATTAAATGACATTGCATAACAAAAAACTTTACCTCAGTGTCAACTAGCGACATCTGGTGAGCAGAAAATTATTAGCTCTCATTAAGGTGAGATAGTGCAAAGTGCTGGCCATCAAGGTAAGAGTGTGACACTAACCTAAATGGGCTCCCAGACCTATAAGAAGTACTGCCACCTAAGAACTTAACTATTTTATATTTTTTCGTCTATATTATTTTAATTCTTATGAAATATTTCAATGAATAATTAGTAAAAGTACATAAATTACCTTTATTATATCGATAGTATCTAAATTTGCGGTTGCTGTTACAGCCATGTGCCTTTGATGAAAGAGAATTTGAGAAGTTGCTACAAATATTTGTCTTGGAGTGTATCTTTTGTCATTACTTTTTACCAAACTATTAAAATGCATTTTATCCAAATGAATCTTAACTTTATTGGCCAAATTCTGTAACTGTAATAAAATTGCAGATAGATAAAAAACCAGTTTTATAATAGTTTTTTCACTGAAGTCATTAATTGTCAACACTCAAAAATGTGCGTCATACTAACTAGGTCTTCAACATCTTCGTTAAAGTGTAAGTTTACAGTGTCAATCCACTGCAAGAAGTAATTGATAACGACTTCTGGAGGTATTTCATGGCTCATCTGGGCCTTCACCCATTTTACAGCCAGATAACAATGTATAAGATAGCGAACTACAGTTTTTGCATAATGTAATTCTGTTAATGTATATGGTCTGTAAAGAAAAAACATTAAAAAAAACATTGATAAAATTATAATTATATATTTTGTATAAAAATGTTTATAATATTTTTAATAATTATTTATGACAGTTAACTTACTTTTTGCTTTGGAAGTTATTAATGACTTTATTACCTTTCCTAATAATATCTTGTAATACATATATTGTATAGTAATAGCTGCGACTATTGGTTGATGCTATTTTAAAAAAATAACTCACATCCTGTAGAGTTATATCATCAATTTTCCTTAAAACAAATATATGTGTACATTTTTAACTTGTATTACTTAGCAGAACACATAAGCATACCACATTTAAACACATCATATAATAATACTTAAAATGAAAACAGCTTGTGTAATATGAATGCAATGTGGTTTCTAGTGATTTACTCTTTCCACATGACCAGTTTTTTAACATAAAATTGAAATGACAGGCTACTGCAGCCTGAGGACACCTGCAACCAACTTTAACCAAAGAAAGCTTTAAATTATTATCACTTCTGAGGACTTAGATGTAATATCTCTCAGCTTCGAGCAGCTCTCAGCTACTGTCCCTCTATCTACCCAGACCGAAACAAAGCAGTGCAAATGCTACGTGCCGGCAGAAACAGCTGACAGTGCGGTACCGATCCAGATAGACGCCTAGGCAGAAATGGAATTCTAACACCTGAATTGTGATGATTTAAATCTTACTCAAATTATTATTTATTTGAAAAACTACAAAAAGAAGCTGCTAATACGGACTGGAGTGTTATAACAAAGGCTTGCTCTGTTAACGAACAGGTACAATTGTTTAATTCACTTCTTGTTCAACTTTAATGATGCACATGCTCCTATCCGCCCAGAGAGATTACGTCATTCTCCAGCCCCGTGGTTGACTAAAGATCTTAAAAGATTGAATTTCAGAAAAATTAACGCAAAGTTAAGTTACAGGTCAGATCGAAAGAATGACAGGATTCGGAAGAAGTACAGACTCCTGCGGAATCAATGCAACAAGATGTGTAGAGATTCACGACGCCGCCACATCCATAAATCAGTATAAATGGAAGATCCATGCCGTGTTTGAACTTGTTAAGATCCATAGGAGTTGAGAACACATGTTCTTGCCCTATACCAAATAACGTCGATTTTTTTTCTTAATCAGCATTTTTCTTCTGTTTCTTACTTGGACAATAGAGCAAAATCAACAACACTGACTCGACTTTCATCGTTTCCCACTCCTGGCTTTTTTCTCCATTTGTGTTTAGGCAATTTGCAGATTGTGATATTAGGAAACACATACTCTCTAATCATTCTGACGCTGTCGTAAATAGCTAGACTTTTATTATAAGCTATATCTTAAATTTTTCCATATCCTCATCTTTATTCCCTTCCCAATGGAAAGACGCCCAAATCATCCTTTACCCAAAAACGCAAATCCTTCAAGTTTTTATGAATATCGTCCTATTTCGATTCTTCCTTTCCTTTCCAAAGTTTTAGAACGGTTGGTCCAACAACAAAGCTACATTATTTGTATAGTTGTAGCACGAATGAGTCGGCTCAACCGGGGAAGAAAAACGCTCTCACAGAATACCAGCGTAAAATAGCAGCTTAATACTGTTGTGTTTCGTATGGTGAGTGTAGAGAACCAGAGACCCTTTTTACAGGAAAAGAGGCATTCCATCTTAGTCCTCACGGCTGACAACGCATCTGCATTTTGATTCGCAAACGAAGATAGATGTAGATGTCTATAGGCCACAGCAACCACTTTTTAGGTGGACTGTGTGCGCGCTTGTCACAATTATCCTATAAAAAAATCTTTTGTATAAGAAATAGCATCCTCAATCCTCTCGAATCTGGCTTTAGATCGACTACAGCGTTATTAAAATTTATGGAGGACATTCGCCACGCTATGGAGTAATCAAGTCACAGTATTGGTGTTGCTGGATTTCAGCATCGCCTTCAATACTGTTGATCATGATATCCTATTAGGGATTCTGCTTTCTCTTAACATATCTTCAACTGCAATTTCCTGGTTTCATAGTTATTTGTACGGGCGCCGGCAACTTATTCGTGTTCAAGATAAACTTTCTTCGTGGCTTGACACCGTAGCTGGCGTACCACAAGGTGGCGTCTTATCTCCTCTTTTATTAATACGATTACATCACAAATATGTTCTCTCTACCACTTGTATGCAGATGATCTTCAAATATATTTACAAAAAACCATTAAAGGATCTTCCCAAAGCAGTTGAATGTATCATCAACGATCTGGCTTAGTCTCGAATGGAGTCGATCTTATGGGTTAACAGTGAACCCTTTAAAATCCCAAACCATAAATATTGGGAGTTCAAGAATGATTTCCAAAACAAAAAATGTCAACTACAACCCGATGTGCCTATCCCGTATTATTACAAATTTAGGTATCCTTTTGGATTCCGGTCTTTCTTGGACTCCCCAAATTAATGCAGTGAGCCGTTAAACGTTTACAGCATATTCTTCACTTCTTTTTTACCCATTTCCACCAAAATTACGCTTGCACAATCTTTACTACTTCCTACCCTCGATTATACTGACATTTGTTACCTTGATATCACCGAGTAGCAACTTTAGAAACTTGAGCGACTCCAAAATCTCTGTATACGGTTCATATTTGGGCTTCGTAAATATGATTTTGTCTCGGAATACCGTACTAAACTCAAGTGGCTTCCAATTCGTCTACGCCGGAATAGTCATGTACTTTCTGCCCTCTACTGTGACTTATTTAATATATAAGTCCTCCCAGTCTAAAAGAACGTTTAAAATGTCATGATTTTTCCTTACGGTCCAAAGTAAATCATTCCCTACAATGTCCTGTGCACTCCTCGAGATTTTCTGACAAATATTTTATGTTCTTGGAGTAAGATTTTGGAACTCCTTACCTAAGTCAATTAAAATCTATGAAAATTAATGTGAAAGATATAATATTTATATTTTTAAAACAAAGATATTAGGTTTCTACTTAGACATTACTATTTTCTAATACTGGCCAGTTTAAAGTTTAATGTTTTATTAGTGTTGAGGAATTCCATTTCATCAATTTCATTTTTCATTGATCTCATTACATAAGTTATTGTCAAATCAGACCTAAACTAGGCTAAAGCAAGTTACACTCTATATTATCCCTGAAGGATGTTATTGCATTTACTGAGCTACACTTTTAGCTCAGCTCAGGAACATCCTCCAGAGTTAACAGCTATACAGGTTTATTTTGCAATTACCGGCCAAATTTGCAGAGAAGGTTTGTACTTACAAATAATATAGGCAAATGGTGAAGAAAAGTTAATTAAAAAATCGCAAACATTCTGTCATTATTCTCTTAAATTCAATATACGTTGTAATGCATTATTTTAACTGACTTTCATTCATAAATATCTAACGTTTACTATTTTATGCACGCACACATTCGAAAGGGTACCTTGTAGCGCATGTCACCCGCTCTTTTTTATTTACCGTAACATCACTAAGTACCTGCCTACACTCACCCAGCCAAGCCAACAGCTGACAGTGTTGACCGTGACCTCACTACGTACGCTTTGTTACCAATGACGTAAATATTCGGACCGCGGAAACTTTGAAATGGTGCAATATTACAGTGTTTACCGTGTTTGCAAAGACAAGAAATTAACACACTTGTACCACCAATCGGAGAAAAATTTTTGCAGCTAACCAAAGGCTGTTAGACTTTGGACAGTTCACCACTCCGTCATACGGAAGGGCTCGAGATGGTCATTCAGTAATAAGCTTGGCTGTCGAAAACATAGTGATCGAGTCAAAGAAACCCCCACACCAACGACGCAACTCGAGTTCAGAACACTGAATAATAATGATGGTCCACCTTGATAACATTTTTGTGAATGGTTAGTGTCATTTTAATTGATTGCATAATATTTAAGTAGAAAAATTATGTTAATAACTTTAAATGCCAACTATGAAATGATCAACCGAAAACTGGTGGAAATCGACTGGTCCCAAGTTTTTGTTCGGAATAGAAAAGGTAGACGACATGGTAACAATATTTTATGATAAATATAGATATAATTTTATGATATGATCTACTGGAAGGGGTATTTTCAACTTGTGATAATTTTTTTAACATATGTCACATTAACGCTCAAAGCATCCCTTGCCACTACTCCGAACTCGAATTGTCTTTCTCTTCTAATTACGTTCATGCAATTCTAGTGTCGGAGACCTGGCTAAAGCCATCTTTGCATTCAACCTTATATCCCTTGCCAGGTTACGTGCTTATAAGAAACGATCGCACTGATAAAGGAGGCGGTGGGGTGGCTATCTATTTGCGTGCTTCGGTTCCGCATAAAATAGTATTAGCCTCTCCATCTTGCTACTCAGGCTCAGCGGAGTATTTATTTTTGGAGCTTGACGTCAAAAGTGCAAGGATGCTTCTAGGAGTTGTGTATTGCCCGCCCTCCTCTGATTTTATCGCCACTTTAGAAACGGCTCTAGATGACGTTTGTTCTGAGTACACACACTGTATAATCATGGGCGATTTTAATACCGATTTGTTGAAGATTTCTCTTCGTTCTCAAAAACTTCAATCAATAATGGAGTCAGTCAATCTTACCTTTCTCCCACTAGGGTCTACTCATCACAATGTCGATACAGATGACTCCTTAATTGATCTTATTCTTGCTGCTTCTCCTGAGCATGTTGTGTCACACGGACAGTTGCCTGCTTTGGGTTTTTCGCGTCACGACCTTTTATACGCTTCTTATAAGCTCAAACCCCCAAAGCGCTCTTGTCCCTTACTGCCTGTACGCAATTTCTCTAAAATTAATTACGATAAGTTAATGAGTGACGCTCAAAATCTCAATTTATCTTGTTTGGTAGCAGAACCTACAATTGACAGTAAAGTCTCTTTTCTTAATGATAAAGTTCTCAGGTTGTTTAATGCTCATGCTCCTGTCCATAACGTCCGGTTGAAGCGTCCTCCTGCCCCTTGGATGACTGAAGGCGTAAGAATGGCAATGGTAAGACGGAATCGAGCCTTTCTTAAATTCAAGAGGGAACGATCTGAAGAAAACTGGTCAATCTTTAAATCTGTCAGGAATAGGTGTAATCAGATGGTACGTGCTGCTAAACGCCGATATTTTCATAACTGTATAAATGATTCATCTCCTACCGAAGTGTGGAAATTCCTCAGAACTGTGGGTATTGGCAGGCCATTCAAGATGGACTGTGGTCTTTCGATATCTCTCGATGAGATT